ACTGATCCAGTATGGACATTAGCATGAGGAATACATTGGGAAAACGGCTGTGGAGGAAACAAGTTAGCGGGTGGGGGACGCATTGTTTCCATTGGAGCAAGAGTTCTATTAAACAGCGGGAAAATCGGCATATTCGGCCTAACTGCCTCGATATAGGGGCTGGGGGCAGTTGGGAACACGCTACGTTTTGAGTCGGTGTATTTGAGGCACTGTTAGCCGATTGTGGAGGAAGGGATTTTATAATGGTGCTGGATTTTTCGGGTTTCCGAGTGACTGGGACAGCAATTGGCTTAGCCTTTGACTTAGATACATGCTTAGGCTTACTTGGGGTTGCTGGAGGAGTCGGTAGAGGCGTGATGGTATGTTTATAGATCTCAGCAGCAAGAGTAGTCGAAATACCTGCGGTATTGACTATGCCGTGATGTGCAGATGCCGCAGGCTTGATAGTGTTTTTATAGTGCTCAGCATTAAAAGTAGTCCAATGCCCTACCGAATTGACTATGGCGTGATGTGCAGATGCCGCAGATGGTGTTGTAGAGGACTTATTCCGACTGATAGTAGGTGTCATTATCTTGGGGTTGGTTGTTCCGATTTTAATTTATTCAGTATTCTCTTCAGGGGTTTGACGTCTGGCAAACCGGAGCAGCGCCATTTACGGCAGAATTCTCTAGATATCTCCCTTCTCGACAAAATAAAATCGACTTCTATCATGGGGAATAGGGTAACTAATATCGGTGCATTACGGCTAAGCGAGCGAAGTCGCTTAGCTTGTGCGACACTGAAACTCAAGCCACAACTTTGTAGGAACAAATGCGCTCCCTCCATAGCAGTTAAGTGGCTCGGAATGTTTCGCATTACAAAATTATGCTTGCGTTTTATTATTTCCTCAGTTTCCTTACTGATTACCCCAATAAGTTTAAAAGCTTGTTCAATTACTTTTTCAGAAGTGCTGTTTATGTCGCCATAAATCAACCGATCGACAATATTGCCGGCTGATGGCCTGCTACGACTAGCAGAGGCGTATATTTGAACGACTGAAGGGTCGAGAGGTTCTACATGTACTTAAGGGATTTGTGAGTTAATCAGATCTGCAGACAGCGAAGAACATACCCTGGCACCTGCAATGTCTTTAGTCACGACATTAGCACCCAGAGACGGTGAGAAGACCGCAAGCTAAATTTAGCACGTGCTCTGCGGGGCATTACAGACAAGAAAAGTTTTTCGTTACAGAAGAAGGATCAAAACTTTGCCAACGTACGGAAAGGCGCACTGAATAGCAAGTACTATTGTTATTTAACTACGAAAACTAGAAAGAGATAGTAGGGAGGGGAGTCACTACAAAGGTTTTTTTACAAAATAGCACTATTTTGCCAGACTGTCAAACAAAACTGGGAAAAATTTTACCTTATATTGAAAAGTGACTTCTAAAATGTACTCAAGTAAAAAAACAGGCATTAATTGCTTAAGAATATCCAGATAAATGCAAAGCTTCACTTATGTTTGAAATTGATCTGCGCGCCTCAAACTTGACATGGTGTAGTGTCCGTTACAGATGGGCCAGTAGGAGATGAAGTGATGATGGATTGGGATAGCCTCCTCTTCTTCACGACCTGAGGATTAACTTGAGGATCTGAGTATGGAATGTCCAACATTCTTCACAGGCAACTCAAGCACATCAGAGTTTGGCGTTAGTAGATGGAAAAAGTGTAGGTAGGTGCCGAAGATAAGGTTTATTGTGACAGAGTATATAAACGTGGGTAATCTCAGTAGAAAGTGGGTAACGAATCGAACGCAAGAACCAACAAGATAGGTGACATCAAGGAGGTAAGTACATACATCAGGAAAAAGGGTTAACCCGGAAAAAGTCAAATGGTGCAAAACAAAAAGTAACAATAACAAACAAAAGAACAAACGTGTAACAAACAAGGGTGGGACTTATCGGGCACACAGATCAGCGGCCTTGATCGCGTCCATGCGGTGAGCTTGGCCCGGGGATTTCTACAAGATTAGTGTTCACCTGATTAGTAAAACAAGTTTAGACCCCTACGCTCTATTTTGGCTGTTACATAGCCCCCCTCTTAGGATGCAGCACTGTCCTCAGTGCTGCTATGGTCGCGGGGGGAAGGGATAGTGGTCTCGATGGCTGAGGGAACTGTGACCTCGATGGCTACGGGGGGGACTTGGTCGTCTGGAAGGATGGGTAGGGAGTCTGATGTGCAAAGGGGTAATCGACCGCGGTAGGGTTTGAGTTTGTTAAAGTTAGCTGTAAAGGTGGGGGAGTGGGGTTGCGAGGCATCGCGGAGGAGGTAGTTCGAGGGTGACAAAACATCGATGATAACGAACGGACCTTGCCAGGGATAGTGGAGTTTGGCTGAAATGCCGCGTGGTGGTACGGGGTTGTGGTGCATGACTAAATCGCCCACTTGATGTGTAGTGCCAGTCGAATGGCGGTCGTGTTGTGTTTTTTGATGTGAGGATGACGTACCGATTGTTTCGCGTGCTGAGTTGTATGCGGTACGTATCGTTTCGCGAAGACGGGAGGCGTAGGTCGATATGGTCGTGGGGTCAGGGGTATGTAGGGGGTATTGAAGATCTGCGGGGAGGCGTATCTCGCGACCTGTCCAGAGGTAATGGGGTGTGAAGCCAGTCGACGAGTGGACTGAACTCCTATAGGCTAAGAGGCAGAATGGGAGTTGTACGTCCCAGTCATGTTCGTGGCTGTCTTTCGTAAACGCAAGAAGGAGATTGTGAATGGTGCGGTTGGTGCGCTCGACAAGGCCATTACCTTCGGGGTGGTATGGTGTCGTGCGTGTTTTATGTATGTCCAGGAGGCTGCACACTTCCCGGAAGAGCTGGGAGTCAAAATTGCTACCGCAGTCGGAGTGGAAAGATATGGGTGCTCCCCAACGACAAACCCACGTGCGGTTAATAGCGTTTGCGACAGATGTGGCATCTTGGCGGAGTAAAGGTACTGCTTCGACCCATTTTGTAAAGTAATCTACCATAACAAGGATATATTCATATCCACGGACTGATATCGGTAGAGGGCCAATAATGTCTAAACCGACGCGTTCGCCGGGGAAACCCGTGATCATGGGTTGCATGGGAGCACGTGGAAAGGGGTTTGGTGACTTGAACAGGTTGCAAGTGGTACAGGATTGACAAAAATGGAGGACAGAGGAACGGAGTTGGGGCCACCAAAATCGTGCACGGGCTGCTAGTTCGGTGCGTCGTTGGCCGCAATGCCCCAATTCTGTGTGGAGGTCAGACAGTACACTGTCGATCAAACATCCTGGCACTACTGGGCGCAGTTGTTTTGAGGAGGGGTCGCGGAAAAAGAGGATATCGTTGTCGATTAGGAGGTGGGGCCACTGGTGCCAAAGGAGGCGTGCGTTTTGACTAGCGCCTCTCATGTCCGCCTCAGTAGGTTTATTGATGTGTTGGGATAGGTGGTTATAAATTATAGCCGTGTCAGGGTCAGTCTGCTGAGCCGACGACCAGACGTGACGAGTGGATTCGGACATCGTGATCGCATTGACTGACGCGGTGTTGGGGTCGAGATCTGGTGGTTGCGTGTCGGGAAAACGTGAGAAAGCGTCAGCATTCCCGTGTTTATGACCGGGACGATATTGACACTCAAAGTCGAAATCTTGTAAAAATTCCTGCCACCGTGCGAGCTGATCCATGGGGTCTTTGATAGATTGCAGCCATTGGAGCGCTCGATGGTCAGTGCGAAGGATAAAGTGGCGACCAATGAGTAGGTGTTTAAACTGGCGGATGAATGTTATTATGGCTAAAAGTTCCCTACGGAAGGTACAGTAGTTCCGTTGGGGTTTCGTCAAAGTATTGCTCGCGAAACATATGGGGTGTTCGATCCCTTTATCGTCCGCTTGCGACAGGACTGCCCCCATGGCGAACCCGCTGGCGTCAGTGTCAAGGATAAAAGGGGGTGCATCAGGGTTTAGATTAGGGAGAGTTAAAAGTGGGGCTGAGCAGAGAGCGGCTCTAAGGTTAATAAAAGCCTCCTCACAATCGGGAGACCACTTGAATTCCCGGCCTTTTTCTGTAAGTTTATGTAGCGGACCGGCTATNATCTCAGGTGCCAGTAAGGGGCTGGGGCCATAGGGGTTGGGGGTATTTGCTTGATAGGTAGGGTCTTGGCGGGGGGGAGGAACAGAATGGGACGGAGAGCTGGTTCGCTCACCGTCTGCCACCATTGTAGTGTCCGTTACAGATGGGCCAGTAGGAGATGAAGTGATGATGGATTGGGATAGCCTCCTCTTCTTCACGACCTGAGGATTAACTTGAGGATCTGAGTATGGAATGTCCAACATTCTTCACAGGCAACTCAAGCACATCAGAGTTTGGCGTTAGTAGATGGAAAAAGTGTAGGTAGGTGCCGAAGATAAGGTTTATTGTGACAGAGTATATAAACGTGGGTAATGTCAGTAGAAAGTGGGTAACGAATCGAACGCAAGAACCAACAAGATAGGTGACATCAAGGAGGTAAGTACATACATCAGGAAAAAGGGTTAACCCGGAAAAAGTCAAATGGTGCAAAACAAAAAGTAACAATAACAAACAAAAGAACAAACGTGTAACAAACAAGGGTGGGACTTATCGGGCACACAGATCAGCGGCCTTGATCGCGTCCATGCGGTGAGCTTGGCCCGGGGATTTCTACAAGATTAGTGTTCACCTGATTAGTAAAACAAGTTTAGACCCCTACGCTCTATTTTGGCTGTTACAATGGTTGGAAACCATGTAATGTTGGCAGAAGGTCTACTATATTTTTGGATACTGGCGCGAAATTCAATTCGGTGCTAAAAGGGTGCCAGTGGGAACTTTGTTGTGACGCCCGAGTTTGGCTTTCTGTGGATTTATGATGGGCCAGACGAAACAGTCGCCCGGATACTAGGATGAGCAAAGATGTGTAACGCGCTGAAAACGCCTCGTCTAATTTATAATATTAATAGTAATTTTTGTTCATGACCCGTGGTGGTTCGTCCATAGCAAGTAAGAATAACTTTTGCATGAATTTTAGAACAGATATACAGAATCTATACAATAATTAAATCATAGGTACTAAGTAAGTAGTATGTCACGAAACATGATGAGTGAGTAGTGAAAAAAACTCCTAACCTTCAAACAAAATGAGTATGACTGGATTAACACTATAGGAGAAAAAACTCTCGCTCTTGAATTTAAGAAAGCTGGCAGGACCGGCCTGTATGTGACACTGTAGAACGGATTTTATGAAGGAGTATGAGGCGGGTCAAGCAGGACTGGCCTGAATGTGGTATTGAGTACAAGGTTCGGAACCGACTTCATCAAGGTAGTATTCATATGCTGGATGGGGCCATTCATGTCAAAGTGGAGAATAGAAAACTAGTCTTAAGGCCATAGGAGCCCATATGCGATCGGTTACAGTCAGTTGAGTCCAGCCGAGGGGGGAAGGCAAGGGAGATGCGACCAGACTGCTGGTATATGGGGAATACAGAAGGCTCGGCCAAGATCGTCGATAGAGCGCATTCTGTTAAGGCACGATGACTGAACTGAAAAATCGAAAAATTAACATTCCTGATGGGGGATCCCAGGAAGCGATACGACTCACAAAAAAGGAAATGTGAGCAGATACGGAAATTTAATGGCGGCTTCCCAAATTCCCGCTGACACTTTCTCAATGTCATAGAGAAAATTGTCCGGGAAGGATGAGGAAAATAAAAGTTTGTAGAGTCAGTATTCAGATAAATTGGACGGTCATTCCAGAGGAAATTATACCTGGAAGCGAAAGAAGAGAGCGCTTAGAGGTGGAGGAAGTGGGAGGTGGTATAATCAGGGAACAGTTGCGAAGATTTTATGGGCGATTATTAGTGATAAGTGCTGAAATCCGAGAAAGACTTGAGCTATTATTTATGCGAAAGAGGAAACAGAAGTCTGCTTCTAGTCTTCGAACCCATAACAATTTTAGGTTAATTAGCTGGCATCTGTCTGAGTGGGAGATATTTGAATGTTTCCTGTTTAAAAGTTTTCCAGTAAAGCGTATTTGGACATTCTCCATTTTTAAACGACTAGCTTCATTCATCAAACCGAAGAATGGGCAACAATACTCGAGAATGAGACGTACAAACATACGATAGAACCTTAATGTAATTTCAGGAAGATAGAAATTGTGAGAAATAAAGCCACAAATCTGGGCAGCTTTGGGTGTATTTCTGTCAGCATGTGGCGAGAGATCAAGATTAGTAGTGTAGCTTAAGCCTAAATCCTTGATGGTGGTACATTCAGTCATAGGTGTGCCTTGAAAGAACACTGGTTGGGGTAGCCTCTCAGGTCCAAAACACATATAGCGACATTTGGACGGAGAGAATTCCATTAGCCATTATGAGCTCCACGCTGAGAGTAAGCAGGTCAGCATGGATTTGCTGCAGGCAATGCAGGCTCGCAGATTTCTTGAGAGAACATACACATTTGAGATCATCGACATAAATAAATGATTGGGAATATTGAACTGCCCCCGAGATATCATTTATGTAAAGCAGGAACAAAAGATGACCTAAAACGTTTCTTTGTAGGACAACACTTAAAAGGGTGCTTTCACTGGAAAGTGAAGATCCCACCAAAGTATTTTGTTTACGATTAAACAGGTATGACTTGATAATGTCTGTTAGGGAACTGCGAATTCCCAGGGCTTCTAAGTTAACTAAGAGTCTTTTATGTTGCACTTTATCAAAGGCATTACTAAGATCAAAATAAATAAAGACAACAGGTAGATGGTCAGCATAAGAGATCGACTTTGTCATCACAACGTCGTTTAGGTCTCGGCTCCGGACATGAATGTACCCCGACAAGTGCCAGCCACCGCTTGAGTGGCTGCATCCATGTTGTCTTCAGCCGCACCGGCAGATGGTGATAGTTAGGAGGCTGCCTTGGCAATAGGAGAAGGCCACTGGTACCGTTGAGACCATGCACTGCCTCTCAGGCAGCATAGTCTGTTCGACAAGTGCATTGAAGTCACCGAGGACAATTAGCCTGTTCGCCTTTGGCACAGTTTCCAGGATGAAATGCTGATCGTAAAATTTCTCTCAACCCGCCCGGGCTGTTCATTGGGGAACTGTAGACGCCGACGAAGCTGGCGAATTTGGCTTCCCGAAGAGGTAGGTGTAGGGTCGTGAGACGGTCACTGTTGTCCTGTGTCAGACAGAACAGTCGTCCCGCGATATGATTTCGGATGGCAAAGGTAGCGACCGATACGCCCACCTTGCGGCGAGCCAGTTCTCCCGGCAACCAACACCGTTATCTTTTCCTGCTGATTGTTCAGTGAATTGTATAAAAGAAAGCGATCGTCCCAGGTTGCCAGGCTGAGAAGAGTCACTCTCGCATGCCACGGCATTGGGCGGAATGAATGGGATCGGGAGTGGTTTCAGTGTTTCGGCAGGGGATTTCATATTTTCAGGCCGCAGCCAGCCTTCAAGTGTCTTGAGTTTTCAGATGGGACAGCCCCTTCTAGTCCCATCGCCCTCGCGGCGGTAATCAGCGTTGTCCCTAAATAGAGCGGTTGAGGCACCCCAGACGACTGCCAGACTCTACTGTGGGCCCTACCTTTGTTCATTGGGAGGATGGGCGGAACTAGCCCGGGCTACCTACAAGATTGAGTGTCGTCCTATCCGTGGGGCTTTGGTTAAGAAAGGACGTAAAATAATTGGACGGGAGTAGAAAAAATGAATACCGCATTTGGAGACACACGCAAACTGCATGTCCTCATCTGACTTGGTCCGCCGGTCAAGGCGGTTGTCAGAGTATGAGACTGCTAGTTAGGGCCAAGCTTCGGACATATACAGATGAGAGTTAGATGTCAGTTATGAGCCTGCATGCAGGTGTAACGGCAGGTCGGGTTCAAGTTTGTACGGGGATCTAAATTTAAAACCGAGTGATACTACTCTTTTGAGCATAAAATTTGGGTCGAGCGCACTTTGTCACCAAGTGAGTGAGAAAGAATGTCACTTCACTTTTTCCAAAAAAGAACATATTTGAATATGCAAGGGCATCTAAAATCATTGTGAAAAATCCATATTGTTTCGTAGCCACTTTCTACAGGGCGTTTTCTGAGCAGGCAGATGGGAAGAAGTTCGTTCGAATGTCGGCATCCTGACATGTCGGAAATATTTGTGGAGACAATTAATACTGCAACTCTACACAAGTAAGCGTTTCTATTCGAAAACACATTTTGGATCTATAGAAGTAAAAATGCGATTCCCAGGTAGCATATCAAAAGAAAAGGGGGTCTTCACCAGGAGAGATATCTTGAAGGTCTGACGTTTTAAGTAATCGTTTCGTTTACCCGTCTCCAGAGACCGGGAAGTCATGCACACAGCTCTCATCATATGGCGCACATTGTCTGGTGTACGCTATACCGACGGGTGGAAACTCATTGCAGTACGCCAGCTGCTAAAATGGATGAGATTAAGCTATTCCAATAATGAAAAAATAATTTTTTATTAAAGACCCGTCGGGGTCCCATAAAAGCTGGTAAAAATAAATGTACATACGGATTTTAGACGAGGTAGGCAGAATCCGTACAAAATGCAATTCATAGTTTCTCAATTTGTATTCCGCTAAGAAAAATTATGAGCGAGCGGTGAAAAAACTCTACTTAAGAATACAAAAATGATTGAATTAATTTCAC